AGTAGTACGGCCAGGAGCCCCTAGTAGCGTCCTTGCTCCTAGTAGTAAGGCCAGGAGCCCCTAGTAGATTCTTGTTACTAGTATACTAGTAGTAAGGCCAGGAGCCCCTTGTAGCTTCTTGTTACTAGTAGTAAGGCCAGGAGTCCCTAGTAGCGTCCTTGCTCCTGGTGTGTCGCGCGGTCTTATTCTGCGTAGCTCCTAAGGTGTGTTTGACGTGTTTACGGGTCGGCCCATGGGGTCAGAGACTGAGCTTTATTGGTACGCTTCAGCAAGGGCGTTTGTGAAGAGCTCATGCTAGCAGCACTCGTCCCAACATTCATGTGACTCTGCTGCGCAAATTGGGCCTTTGCTGGCAGGAATCCAATTACTCACAAGCTGGACATCATCCGAATTTCGCTCAACCAGCATGGCCCAGCACCAAGCAGGCTTGGAGGGTTTTGGTGGGAAATTCTGGTGGCAAGCATAAGGTTCTGGCAGCGATCGGAAGATTGCCATCTTAGACAAGAACAAGGACTGAGTCGGAGCTCTGATTGTAATCATTTCTGATTGATTCTGATTGCTTTTTCTCAATTATCAGGTCAATCGGCGATTGACAGTCTGACAGTGTGTTACTCGTTAATACTCAGCTACTTGTATTGATCTTGCAGGATTTGTATTTGACCCAAGCTTTACAGGCTGCTGGCCGCTCAGACTCCTCCTTTTTTTGGGAATTGTTTTCATGTCACTATTCCAATACAATCTAGTTTGGACCTGCTGGAGATACAAGCCTGCACCTGACTTCACAATCACTTCACAATGGCCACTATGCCAGCCTTGTTTCATGCATAGGGAAACAGCAATCTCCAAGGCTCTAGGGTGATTTGAGAAAGCCTACTGCGTTTGAAGCCAAGGACAAGACGGAAAAACTGGGTGCCATGGTCGACTCCTTTATGTGGAATGACAGCACTGATATGCTGCATCCTCAGAAAGCTTGATTTGGCATACCGTGGCCAGAAGTATAGGCAAGTCTTGCCTTTGCATACAGGAGTAGGTGTCGCAGTAGTTTGCTTGTACCATTTCAACGATTCTGCTGACGTGGTGTCGGAGATTCAGCCCAATGAAGTGAGTTTACTAAAGTGTATCCTTATTATATATACGTACAAGGACACCAGATGTGAGTTGCAGAGTTTGTTGCAACGGCCAAGCCCTCCACCAAGGCTTGTCGCTCTGATGGATGAGAAGCTTGTGATTTTCATCTACCCAACAGTTGTATTTGTTGACAAGGACTCTACTTTCAATCTGATCCTATTGTCAAATTTGACACTACCAATGTGCATACGCGTGGACTATGTCCAGCCTTGGTGAGGGTTCTAAACCTCTGCATTGGACTCTGCATCCAGATGATAAGGGTTGACAGCAGGGGTCCATGAGCTGCACTCGAAAGCTCCCAGGACTTGCTGCCTAAGACGCAGCAGTCCAAGAATTGCACAGATGCTGGCAAGAACGGATCCTCAGACTGACCTTCAAAGCCCCGAGGGTTAGAAGTTGTTGAGAATGGCAGCAAATGCATCTAGACGCTGCTGCACTGGTGGCTGGTTCAGATGGTTAAGTAAATGCAGCAACCTGGTACACTTTTGATTCTGCGACTTCAGAATGCGAGAAGTCATGACCTTGAGGTATGCACAAATCGTGTCCTTCTATGGCTCGAACTGTACAATTAGAAAGGCAGGACAGGACTTCTATTGTGCGCAGCTGCCATCCAACTCTGTAATTGAAACGCATTGCTGTTTCGTAGGGCAGAGCAACTTTCAGCTTCTTTGTGCCATGACAACGCATGCCATTTGGGATGACAACGCCCTGGTGGGTACTTCTTGAGTTGGAATGACAAGCTCCTAAGATGTGTTTGAATGCTGCAGGCTGATGGTTCTGATTTGGCCATGATCTCAAAAAAGCTTCCCTTTGAGCATTTGAGGCTTGATTTGCTTTGAATTCTCCTGTCTACAATTGTCAAAAGAAGCAGCTCCCAACAAACACGCGCTCGTCTTTTAGAACATGAGACCCGTTTGGATGCCTTTGGACCAAGAACCACTGAATCTGACAGAAGCGGTGGTTCTTCACTCCATCGACCGACCTGACTCGGCCGGTCGGGGCCGTCGGTCACTGAGGCCATGGTCACCACTCCGTACCCACCGTTGCCACTGGGATGGCAGAGTTCGTTCGCCCACGAACACGTGGCGGGTGCGGTGCTGGCCGATGCGTTTCGATGTGTGACCAAACCAGGCTTTACCAGCACTTTGAGAAGGGCCAGTGGGAGCAGGCTCGGACGGAAGACTTCAGAAAGTTCATCAGCCACTGCGCTTGCTTTGATCATGTGCATTCCAAGAGCGGTTGAGCCAGTTGAACCATCAAACACTTGTATAACCACTGCATCTTCAGGAAAGATGAGGAAATCTGGAATCCTTTTGAAAAAGACACGAGTCACTTGGGATGGACACCCTGAAACGAAGGATCAACGATGCTGTGGCCAGGCTGTGAGGCTTTGTAGATATGTGAAGTCGCCCGAACTTTGGGCCTCCTTGGCAGCAGCTTTGCGGCAGATTTCAGAAAAGGCTCCTAGTAGCGTCCTTACTCCTAGTAGCGATGCCAGGAGTCCCTAGTAGCTTCTTGCTCCTAGCAGCGATGCCAGGAGCCCCTAGTAGCTTCCTGCTCCTAGTAGCTAAGAGGAGGTTCTGACATTGGATGTTTGAACTGTACTCCTTTCACTCAGGCCATGGCCATCCATCAACGAGCCCTCGATACGGTGGAAATCGCACCTTGACCGCTTGAGCCGCTGTGTGTCTCGACAGGGATGCTGCTCCGTCTGTGACAAAAGGACGGAGTGTTGCGCCCCACAGGAGGACGGCGCCGTCAATTTCAATTGCAACACCCTATAATATACACGGTGGATGGCTTGTTACAGATGGTTCAAGAAGCTTTCTTTCAATACTTTGCTTACAAGAATATGTAGGAATTTTGAAAAGAACACGGGTGAATCTATTCTGTGAAGAAGCTTTGGTGCCTCAGCAGTTGCTGTAGCTTGTGCAGCTCCACGTCCGTTTCCTTCGCCGAGGCGTTAGCCGCCATCGAAGAGGTGGACAAAGTTCAGCCGGGAGAGCTCAGTGGCAGTGGCTCCACACTGAAGCAAGCAGCTCAACTGGGCTCTAACCCTTTTTTTGTTTCTACTAGCGTCCTTGTTACTACTAGTAAGGCACTTGTTACCTCAAGCCTGGGGGGGGGGTGGCAGTTGCTTTTTGAGCCGAGCAGCGCGGTGAAGGACTTCTGTAGGTGGCTGATTCTTTGATGTAGGGGAAGCATGTCTAGAACTCCACGTGGCATTGCCTTTTCTTTCGAGGAGGAAGACGTAGGATGGATTTCGGGCGTTTGATGTTGGCTTTCTCATCCTGATTCACTTCATTTCGAAGTTGTGCTTTTGACTCATAAAGATAGCTTATCTCTCACTGATTTCTTTGCTCAGGTTTGTGGCCCACATCAACAAACTGCCGGGTGCTTGGCGGTGCTTGGCATCCGGCCTCCCAGGGCGTGGTATCTTTGATCATTCTGTATTTGCAGAAAGACCACGACATGTGGAAGGCCTTCTTTAAAGCATAACCTTGTATAGTGATGGCAACAGCTTGATTCACCTATCAACAAAACATGGAAGGACTTTCGGTTTGCGCTGCAAATAGGATCTCCAGATGATCTGGTGAAAAGATTGAACGTCTGTGCACCCTATTGGGCCAAAAACAGCATTGTCCAGGTGTAGCTGCACTGACCAGGTGTACGTTTTTCCCGACTGTGAATATCCTGTTTGCTGTTGGATCTCATGTCTTTGAAAGCCAGAAGCGGTTGCTTCAGGCCGGATGATGTTTTGCGCTCGGCTGAGCTGGCGCTCTTCTGCAAACGTCCGGATGAGGCCGGTGGGCGGGTTCCCCGCGGTTGGTCTCAACAGATTCGAAGTGGGTTGAAGATCGTCATCCCTTGACCTGAGACCTTTCTAAGACCCTTCATACGGAGGGTCACACATGGAGGGGAGGGTCTTAAGATGGACATGGACAGACTCTTCAATGCCCTTGAAAAGGCACAAGGAGGCCCTTCAGATGCTAGAGAACCGAGGTTTACAAGTGGCAGAAGACCATCTGGAGTTTTCCCTTCTTAGCCACTGCAACAAATCGACATGTGAATGTGATACCATGCCCACGATACTTGCACTATTGAGTCCCACAGGTCACTTACCACTTATACTTCACAGGAGGCAGTTCATACCTTATGGGCGGTGAGTCTTGAACATTCTACATCACATACTTTGCGTCCTGGCCACCTCAAAGTCAGTTCTCGACAGGAGGCAGCGACTAGACAACAGTTCTGGAAAACTGGACACAACAGTGCTGTGAGGCACTCAACATCTTGCTGCAAAACAAGCGGATATATCGCGCCATCAAGTGCTGTCCCCAGACCAATCAGAATTTACATATTACAAAAGTCTTTGGACATCATTTCAGCTGGTAGATTTTTCAAGATAGACAGTATAAAGGCATGGACTTCAGGTGGCCGTGGTAACTTAGGGGTGGCTTGATGTCTTGTCCATCCAAGGATGAACATCCGCCTTCACAGACGGAATGATGCTCTGGAACTGGTGGGGTTGCAAGTCGAGAACATGTGCAAGACATTTCAACATGCAAGTAGAGGTCACTCGAAAGAGACTTGACTTGAAAGAGACTTGAGAAATCGGAACCGATCCTGAGCTAAGGAATTTTAGTCTTCGCATGTCACTCTTGTCCAGAACTGGCTTCCTTTAAAACGATAAAGAGCTGAACAACGATAAGCTTTCACCTGTTGAACTTTTGACCCTGTGTTCAACAGTTCAACTAGGTCGAAAACAGGGCACGTCACCGGCTACGAGAAAACCGCAAAAAAACGATAAGATCCAGTCCATCCGCCATAATTACCCTATGGTCCTCACAATTGTTTGATCTTGCGGACCGAGCCTGCCACAGCATACTGTCACTGCCCCAAAAGGAACCGTAGTAAGTAGTAAGGCAACACATTCGGCGCGCGGTGTTTTTGATTGGGGGAAGACCACCGATAACGAGTTGAAGAGACGATACCGTCCGGCAAAAAGCAACATGTCCGGCCGACCTGTGAGGCGAAAAAGCACCAGACCCATGTGGACACCGTGTTAGCTTATAGGCAACAGCATTTGCAACAGATGAAACATGTGCTGGCCTTAGCAGTTTGCCTTTTTCTTTTTCTGGGTTAAAGCTGAATGTGCTGCATCCTTGGGTTTGCCATGATTGCCCAAAACTGACCGCACCAGAAGTGCTTTTGGAACGTGCAACATAGACGGCTTAGATGGGGCCTTCTCCACCGTTTGAATCAGCTTCTAGAGTGCACTTTCAGGTGGAAACAAATGACGAGTTTAAGCAGTGGGCCGGCGAGGTTGAAGTGGCAGACGCCTGAGGTGTCTTTGTTGTAGGTTGGCTTTGGCTTTGACTTTGACCCATTGGACTTTGAGCTCCAAAGCATGGAGAATTTGGACATCCTGAAGACATCTTCTTGAAGTCTTTGACCAAAGCAGTGCTTTGAAGTCTTACTTTCACTCAGTGCTCAGGACTGGGAGACAGTCAAGAGAAAGATTGCTATGGAGAAGGACCGAAGCATACCATTCATTTGTGTGGTCATAGAGGGCAACCCAGTCTCGGTCAAGGACCAAGAGATCAGAGCTGCAAATGGTGAAGTGGGTGGAGCTTGACGAAGGTGCAGGTCGGCCTGCAGCCTAGTCTATGTGGACAGCTCTTGTGTGGGAAGCTGCCTCGCTGCAAGAAATGGTTTGGGGTGGAGAGCATTCGGAGATTATCCGTGGAGTCCACAGCAGTCCCTGCAAGAAGTTTACATTTGCCTAATTGATGCCAAATGGATTTAGTCAAGGCAGCCAAGTCTAGCCCAAGAATTTGCTTGGAAACTGACCCTTCCCCGAGAAATCGTCTTGCTTCAGACAAAGACTTGCCTTTTGCCGAAACAAGGTCTAATCTGTGCTGAGGCCACCCCCTGTCTCACCACAAGCCAAGAGCTGAGCTTTACATGGACCGCACGGACTGCGCCTTTTCGGTGTTTCAAGATTCAAGCAGTTACAAACCCATTTGTGGGCAACGTTGCCATTATCACCAGGCGTGATCAGTCACACTGGCATTTTTTGCTCCTGGAAGGCCTTTGCTCTTAGGAGTCAAAATGGTACCACTCTAAAAGGAGATTTGTTGCGTTTTGTCCCTGCACTTTTTGACTGCACTAGAATTCAGGACGGAAGGAGGTCTTTGGAGGGTGCACAAGTTGTGGGCTCCAGCTATGACTTGGGCTGGTTGCATGCTTACATCTAGATTTTACAACAGGACACACAAGGACTTTACCAAGAACGAAGCTACTAGGGGCTCCTGGCATCGCTAATAAGAGCAAGGACACTCCTGGCCTTACTACCAGGAACAAGAAGCTACTAGGGGCTCCTGGCCTTACTACTAGGAAACGAACAGAGAGCTTTGGCTTGAACACCTAATACACAAAAGGTTCGTCAGGAGAACACGCAAAGGAAATTGCAATCTCAGGAGTTGGAAGTTGAAACACACATGAGCAAAAGGAAGAAACAACATAGAGAGGATATATCTTGAAGATGTTTTGTGCCCAAATCCGCGCTGCAAAGAAAAGCGCTTTGTATGGTAAATCGTTGAAGAGCATTCGGCATTCTGGACTGATATTCGATAGGCTGTGCGGCAATCAAAGCCTAGATTCGTCTGTGGTTGATCCATGTTCCAATGACTTCACGTTGACCAATGACCAATAATTGACCCAATGGACCCACTGACCCATTGACCAATGACCCATGTCAAAGCATGTACGTTCGCGGTGAGTTGAGCAGTGTTGGGTTCCGCTCTCTTTCGACTGTCCTGCTGATCGTAGAACCCTGAAGTTTGAGGTGTTTGGGCCATCCAGACCTTTCAATTTGCACTTGTTCCTAGTAGCGATGCACTTGTTTCTAATAGCAAGGCACTTGTTACTACTAGTAAGGCACTTGTTACTAGAAGCGATGCACTTGTTCCTAGTAGCGAACATGGTTTCTAATAGCTTCAGCCTAGGCCAAGCATGATGAGTCCAAACATGGCCGGCTTTTAAGTTGCGTAAGGCCCTTAGCGGAGGTGTTTCGTTTGGCTGCAGAGGTTCAGATCTTGACAGCGGGCATTCTTGAATTTGGAAGAACTATCTCCTCTGGCTTTCGACACAGCACTTTTGGAGGAAACAAGTGCATCCCAGTGTGCATTGTTGAAGATTGTGGAAATCATTTGTCGGACCTTAGATGCAGAAAACAACTTGCTTGTAAACACCGACATTTGGTGTGGTTGTCATTGTCATGCACCATTCAAAGGAAACTTAGATTCTGATTTGGCTAACCACTGACCGCTGACCCTTCTCAGCTAGCTTCCCAACTTTAGATGACATCATTGAAAGGCTTTTATTTGTCATTGTCCCAGCCAGGCGAGCAACAACTAGACCCTGCAATGCCCGACTGACGCCAAATCGGTGCTCAGGGGTGGAGCAGAGTCTCCGCCAAATGTTCCACAAAAGAAATCCAGGAGACAGATAAGATCTATGAAGTTGCACTGAAAATATCTGAACATATATTGGTTGTTTTTGTGTTCCTTTATATAGATCTGCAAGGGGCTACTTCAGATTTCCAGCCCTGAACTAACAATCCATTCAGCATGTCTTCATGGCAAAACAAGGTTCTGCTGCAAGAGCGACAATGAGAAGCGCTTCAAAGCGGTGAGTGTTTTCGTGTGGATAAAACCAGGTGAGCATGCAGAATTCGCAGAATAGGGGGTCAATTGATCCCGTGCATGCCTGCCAGCTTTTGGGCAGCCTTTGCAGAAAATGAGGCAAGTTTGCGCTCCCGCCTGCGCTCGAACAGAAACTCGACAGCTTTTGATGGGTGTTTCATCACTTCTGCACGTTTTCGCGTTTCTGCACCGCGAGAACTCCCCTCACTCAGATGTTGATTGGGTCCTGTGAAATTTGGTACTTGGTAACAAAGGAAGGCACCACCTAGCTCGTGGTACCCAAGATGGATCCAGCATCTTGTCTCTTTGCATCATGCTGTGGTGTCCTTTTGTTGAGAATCCCATTGCTGTTCCTCCGCCACGATTTGAGAAGTGCAACAAACAAACATACTTTTGTACTTTAGATGAACAACGTACAAAACACAAACTATTCCAACCTCATCGTCGCTTCTTTCCAAGTCTCCCCAGGTTCAAAACAGGTGGCACATACTTTGCTTTACCTCAGCAAGGCACCCAGCTTCCCACGCTCTCAACCCGGAATCCAGTGAGTTCAACAGTTTGACCTGCCGAATCCCATGGTCCGACCTGCTCCTCCTCGCTGGAAGACGCTTCGAGGCATTGAGGGCCTAAACAGAACGAAAAGGATGTCTAAGACCTTTGGTGGTTGCAAGAAATTGGCAACCTCACAGACTTGTGTAAAGTCAAGACTTAAATACAACAGACTAATTACGGAAGAAACCAACAAAAAAGAGACCACCAATGTTAAAAACACACACAGCGACCCAGAAATGGCAGGCACCAAAGCCAAAACATCAACCCTGCACGAACATTAGCACAGGAAACCAGGTTTTCCAGGGGAAAAAAGTACACCTGAACGTTCAAAGAAGTCACAACTCTAAAAACATGTTTTGTTTCCTTGCAGAATAATCTGTGAAGGTTGCTAGTGGTTGTAGCCGGTCTTTGCATTTTGTTTATATATTAATGCATCCTTTCTGAGTCGAATAATCGGCACGATCCCTTTTCTGTTTCTGAAAAATACAATATACTATAGCCTCTACTTGGTTAGTTTTGTTTCAACAAACATTGACATGAAGGCCGGACGAAGGTAATCCTGTTGATGGTTTGCATAGTTTTGGGGGATCAAGTGTAGCCATTGTGTGGGACTTGCATAAAGCACTTCTGCGTGTAGACACAAATGTACTAGAATCCTAGATTGAAGGCCAATTACCATTGACCCCTGTTTTTACAGGCCGAGATCCGTTGTCGTTGCCAGGTGTCCTTCTTGGGGCAGTCATTTGTCAGCGGCTGCTTCATTCCTCCACCTTTTTGGAAGGTGCGTCATCACAGTCACATTCCAATGATGCATGGAACACGTGGTGATCATGATTGACATGAATTCAGTGCCTTTGTACTATGTACTATGTGCTTGATCGACGAAGACAGTGTTTGGTTGCCAGAGCTATGAATATATCCACTTGGAATCAAGAAAGAACAGAGCAGTCAAAGAGCAATCAAAGAGGTGACTGTTTCACTTGTTATAATATAGGGTTCTTTTGCAATGTCAGAACGCACTTGAGTTGGGCTCTCTTAAGCATCTAAGAACCATAAGAACCCCAATTAATTGCAACGCAGACCAAACCTCCCCGCTGGCCATGGCTGGTGAGCCAGACGTCCGCCGGCGTGTCCGGCCGCTCTCAGTAAGCGGTCGGGAAGTGTCGGAAAGCAGTAGCCACTACAAACTCTTGCAACAGACGCGTGACTATGGCTCAAAGTTGATGCAGGTGGAGCCCGTTTGGAGCCTATGCATAGGAATGAGCCTGTACATAACTAGGCCAACTTCATCAGGACCTCGTGCACTTTTGAAATGCCATTATGCAATATCTCTAGCTTTTGGAGGTCCTCTCAAAAGCACGGAGCTTTGTTAGAACTTGGGCCACCATGAAGACAGCTTGTCCTGTCTCAGGTGATGAGGCCAGATGGACGTGGCGGATCGCTTCAGCTTCCTTTCTGGTGGCCCTTCTCTCGCTTGGAGCATTCCTGTCCTGTAGTCGCACTGAAGAACCGGCGCTCACCCAGTTTCCTTCCGACATGGAAGAAGTCACACCTGGCTGGGCTTGGACAACAGTCCCAGCCATCGTCCGACAAGAGCGGTCTTTGCAAGCCGGCACAAGAGACTTTCTTTTGGCGTTCTGATTTCAAATGATTTCTAGTTTCCCCGCTTCTGCTTGATGATTTTCTGGGCAGTGACAGACCTCCGTCAACCCTGTACTCTTGTTTTCCCTGGGCTTTTGGGCTCTCTGAGGCAATCTAAGAAAGTGGGCATTGTTAAAGCTGCAAGCAGAGTTTTGGTGAAGGAAGTCCGGGGAATTCGAGCACGGATCACAGAGCCTATGGCTGGCTGGATCTCATGCGTGTCTGGGAATGTGCAAGTGGTCACACGGCACGAGACTGATGAGCACATCAAGAAGGTGAAGAGGGAGGTTATGGCCCACCAGAAAACTCAGAGGGATTTGCTCACAGCTCTTGAGAATGTCAAGAGGAAAGGAGGCATACATCCGAAACTCTTTGGCAAGGTTAGGCCGCAGAATGAGTCTGCAGAATTCGACGGAGCCTTGTCGAAAGCAAGTGTTTGACTTTCTTGGCGTTTCAGTTGCAGTCCAGTCAACACTCTCTTGAAAGAGGACACATCATGCCAAGCTTTACACGTTGGTTAGTGACAGCTTTAGTGTTTGCACCAATGATGGTTGAATGATGATGATAAGAATAAGCCAGAGGTTTACCTACTATAGTTGACTTTGGTTGGTATAGGAGTTGATCTAAAACCACGTGTAAGGAGCTTTATAAAAAAGCCTTTCAGATGTTAAAACCATCCGCGAAAGATTCGCGATGATGTTCGCGAAAATATTTTCTTTTTGTGCCCCAATAGCTAGCCATAGCTGATAGCGGCTGGGCGCCGTCGGATCCACGACCCCCGACCTGGGCGGTGGTCTTGGTCATGATCGGGCGGTGTCTCGCTCATGTTTCACTGGTACCTTGGTCATGTCGAGGTGGTGTCTTGCCCAATGTTTTAAGGGTGTGTCGGTCATGTTTGGGTGGTGTCGCGGTCATGTTCGGGTGGTGTCTCGTTCATGTTTGGGTGGTTCTCGGTCATGTTTTGCTGGTGTGTCACTCATGCTTGGGTGGTGTCTCGGTCATGTTTGGGTGGTGTCTCGGTCATGTATCCCTATGTCTTGGTCATGTTTCGGTGGTGGCATCTTGCTCATGCTTGGGCGTCTCGCTCATGTTTCGTGGGTGTCTCGGTCATGTTTCGCGGTGTCTCGGTCATGGCTTGTGTGTTGCCTCGGTGCTTCTATTTTGGTCGGCATCGTTTTTTTGCAAGTCTGTGTGTGAACCGTGGGATTGCACTTCAAGTTTAATTGAAAGTTCTGTTCGATACTCCATATGTGAGAAAACAATGCATCATCGAGCAACGCGCACCCAAAGCATTCGCCAGATCTTGGTGCATGCTTTGTATTGGGGTTGGCAGCTGGGTTCAACTTTTTCGTGAAAGATCTATCAAAGGTCTTTGCTTTCATATGTTTTCCTTCCACCGACCGACAAGTGGTAGAAATTCAAGGCAATCCTCCGGCACAGCCGGTGGGCGGAAGTGTCCCCGCATGTCCCCACTGTGACAGACTATCGAACTGAAGCCTCAACGTTTCCTTGCCCACCCTGGCAGCGCGTAAAGGATTCTCCGATTCCTGTCTCCACCGTCCCAGACTGGCACAGACTCGCAGCCTGACAACTTAAATTGTTATTGCACAGCCGACAGGTTGTGCAGATGTTTGCACATGTTATCCCAGGGAAATCCACCAGTGAAATTTTGCGAATGTAAAGTCTAAACTCCAAGCTTGAGGCCCCCCAGCATACTCCGATCTGCGTGACCCTGAGTTGGTAGCTGGGACGAGGATTGGGTTGAGTCGTGCCTGACTATTCTAAGCCTCCTTAGGATATTGTTTGTCGCGCAGATGTTGCACATGCTGCAAGTGACCATGAGTGAGTAGCTGTGGCAACTCTCAACCTTGTGCTGGGGTCATGCTGCAAGATGTCGGTCCTATTTTGTGATACAAACATATAGTTCCAGTTCATGTTAACTAGACATAACTAGACATGGTTTTAGGACCATGCTTCGCGATGAGGCCGCGAACGATCTGCAGTGTTTTTCGCGAAGGATGGCAATTGCGTCACGAAAAATATTGATCAACCACCATATATGTATATATACACCTTTGATTTTGCAATTCCCCAGATGCCGGGATTTGCTTGTTTTTCTGAATATGTTTCGCGGCTCAAAGTCTCAACTGAGGAACTTTTGTGAAGGGCCATCATTCTGCCACAGGGCAGCAAGCTGGTGGCCAGTGAACATGATTTGGCGTTGGCGATTGAACGGGTTTAGTTTGACTTGCCGTTGCGCCAAAAACATGTCACTCTCACACCACTGGACTTCACGCATCTACTCATAGAAACCGTCAAAATTGGCAACAGTTGAACGATTTGGACAGCCACATGACCAGGCGCCGATCTACTTAGCCAGACATGGCTCGAGTCCACATGACAGCGCCCCGCCAGGAGCTCCATCAGCTGAGACGCTTCGAGCTGAGCTGGTACCGTGAGCGCTTCGACCGGTGCTCGGTCGATCGCAGGTGTCTTTAGTAAATTTGAATGGCTTTAGTATCAAACGGTCAATGTAAATTCAATGGTCAACACACCCACGGTTGGGCCAGACATGTGGACCATCAGTTCAGAAATGACAACAGTTTCTTGGGCCAAGATCGGGATTTGGTTTGCACAGACTTTGGGGTGAGGCCTCACCTTTTGACTGGCTGTTTCAATGCATCCAAGCTTGGACCATGGCCGGGCCTCCAAGGTCCTTCAACACACCCGTGCATCGTCGCCATTTGCCCGTCCGACCCTCGCGGATGACAAGTGAAGCAAACGAGGAAGAGGTGGACATTGGATTCGGCCCTAGCGGGTCTTTAGATGTCTCTAATAGATTTAATTATTCACACTTGCAGGTAGCTTGCGGATGCAAGTTTTATGTTCACTGAAGTTCACAAAATGTCCCACCGGGACATTTTGGCTCAAGTTGGTGGCAATCACACGCAGGAGAAGGCAGACCAGGTGTCCCAGTTGCAGGCCACGGTCTTGGCGCCCATCCAGGAGGGCATGCAGTCGGTCCCTGACAGCCAGGTTCGGAACGCTGGCTGAAACCTCCTGCGGAAGGTCAACCTCATGGACTTCAAAGCGGTGCTGAAGAAGAGGATGTTGGAGGAGGCCTCGGGCAGCACGGAGGATTCCCTCAAGGCCGCAGTCACCTCCCTGGAGAAGGCCAAGGAGGCAAACAAAAAGATTCAAGACCAGGGCACAGCCTTCATGGAAAAGTTTGCCCTCACCCCCACGGAGCTCTCGGCCTGGCCGGATGACCTCAAACAAAAGCTGGAGGCACCAGGTTCCGGACCCCTCGGACATGTTGCAGCACTACCTCCCGGCCATGAGGGCGCTGCAGAACGGCCAGAACCCTTGGGCTGACAACCCCAAGCTGCTGGAGGAGATGCCCGACCTCAAGCACACGGTGGCCACCGCGGCATCTGGAGGCTTCAACCCCTGGTGCCGATGGCGCAGCGGTGACCGGCCCTGGCATGGCAACTCTCAACGAGATGGACGAGGAGGCCAAGAAGCTGGCCATGTTGCTTTGGGCCTTGAAGGTGCACCGTGGTGAGCTCCGAATGTTTGGTGGGGTATGGCGCCGGGTGCCTGAGTTTAGTCCGCCCCTCCCGGACTGGGCCCAGCCAAAGCCCGGGGCACTCACGCCCAAGGAGGTGGACCGCTACCGGGCACTGGAGCGCCGGACCCACCCGAGTTCCTTCGGCGCGGATATGGTGGAGCCCTTCCACTACACTGACCAGGAGGTGGAGGCACAACGGCAGGAGGGGACTCGGCCCCCACTGGGGTCCATCCTCTCGATCTGGTGGGCAGATGACACTGACAAGGACGAGAAGTGGCGCCGGGAGAGCGGCACATGGGACTTGAAGTCCCTCATCCACATCTACTCGACGCGGTACACCTTCAAGTACATCTACAGCTTGTGGTGCAGCCTCCCTCTGGCCATCGAAGCCAAGCAGCGAGGCAAAGATGCTCCCACTGGGAGGCTAGGAATGGTCCAGGTGCCTTGGGCCCTGTACCCCCTACACCACCTCCCAGTGAACCAAAGCGTGGAACCGGCCTTCACTTGGATGACCGACATCCCGGACAGATTGCGGCGGCGTCTTCACTGGACGCGGGTCCCACTTCCACCAGAGGCCAAACCAACCATTCTTCTACTCTATGCCGGAAAGGATGATGCGGGCTCTTTGGACTCCTACCTCCATGCCTGGTCTCGGCGATTGACATTCGACGAGACAAGGGGCCCCTCGGCCAGGACATGCTCCAGGCCCCCCTCTGGAAGCGGGACTACTTTTATTCGTTGGGGGGCGGCCCCAACTGCCGCACCTGGAGCATCCTCCGTTGGTTCCCCAAGCCCAACGCCCCGAGGCCAGTGAGGGGGCGCAGTGAGCAACAAGTGTGGGGCCTTCCGGCCAACGCAACAGAGGAACAGCTTGACACAGACAATGACAGCATGCTGGTGCTCCGCCAGATGTACCTAACCTCACTGGCATACCAAGGCTTGGCCCAGTGCCACCCGCCGCGGGTGGGATACTCCTTTCTGGAGCACCCCAGGGACCCCATGGAGGTCAGCGCCAGCCCCCAGGCACACAAGTGCTCATCCCTGTGGGTGACCCGAGCCTGTATCAAGTGGGCTAACCAGTTGCACCACCACCGCATTAAGTTTGACCAGTGTAGACTGGGCCAGATGGTGGTCAAGGCCACTACCCTGTCGACAGACCTCCCACTGCACCACTGGCAGGATCTCCGCTGCAACCACTTTGGGCACCAACCCGTTGGGGGACCTCCAATCCAGCGACCTTAGCCGCTATCCAGACCAGATGATGCTCGGCTTGGCTCAGGCCATCGCCAAGGTCCTCCAGGTCCCACCCAAACCCACCACCCAACATTCCGGGGCCACGGACCAACCTCCTCCTCCCAAGAGGTCCAGGGAGGAGGGCACGAGGGACACAAATCCATCCCGGGCTATCGCAGGCCTTACCCATGGCAGCACCGCTGCCAACGCAGCCCCCCCATTCAACGGCGGGGGACACCTGGCACACCAGTACAACTTGGCAAGTACGATCCAATCTCAGAGGATCTCTCACTCTACGATCCTCTGATGCGCCTCCAGGTGGCATTCAAGACCAGGCCACTGCGGGACGGGGGAGGCAAACCCTCTTGGGGCCGGATCGCTCCATGGGCTCGACCGGCCTCCACGCTGGCCCGCTTAGGAGCCAAGATCCTGGCGCTGACCACTCCATTCACTGATCAAGTCATGTGGTCGATTACGTGTGGGTCAAAACAGCGCCCCTACCCGGACCCACTGCTGGAGGACATCAGGCAGATCCTCCACCCCGGCCACCAACATATCACACCAGACGGACAACCCTTCTACTTGGAGCTGATCGGGGACCCAGACTGGCAGTACCCTCAGATTCTCACCACATACGTTCCTCTGGGGGTCTCGGAGCCCACCCTCCCCTCACCATGTGGCCTCTCAAGAGTGAGCTTGCAGGGGAAGACCCAGTGGAAGCTCCACTGGACGACCCCAAGGGACACCACAATTACCCATCGGCAGCAGACTTCTCCAGAGAAATTCGGGCCACTTTCGCAGAGGAAGTCGCAATGGGCATGACAGTCGGCCCGCTATCCAAACAACAGGCGGCTGATCTCTGTGGCTGTGACCCGACAGCCCTCTGCCCAGGTCCCCTGGCAGGAATCGACGAGGGGGATAAGGTCCGCACCATCTATGATGGATCGGTTGGAGGCGCGAATGCCAAGATCCAACAAAACACTAAGGAACGGACCACAGCACCCACAGTTCTAGACTGTGTCCACGCCATTCACTGGCTCCATGCCGCCAGACATACCGAGGCTTGCACACGCCCCCGGCTTAGCCCAGGAGCCTCTGGCCCTGAGCGGGCAGGGGGCCTAGACGACCCAATCCCAACCTGGGAGTGGCCCACCAAGGACAGCCAATGGATCCTACTGAAAGCTGATATAACTAAGGCCCACCGACGAATCAAAGTCCTGCCCCAAGACTGGCGCTTCCAGGTAGCACAGTTAGACGACGAATGGTGGGTCAACAAAGTGGGCACCTACGGCATGGCAAGTGCGCAGCTCTACTGGGGCAGAATGGCGGCCTTGCTCCTACGGATCCTCTATTACCTCTTTCCTCAGATTGACTGGGGCTTTGTCTTTGTCGACGACTTCTGCTGGCTCCTTCGCTTGCCCACAGGACCGCAATACACTGCGGCTCTCTTGGGCACACTAGTGGCTTTGGGTACGCCCCTCAGCTGGAAGAAGACCCACCTGGCAGAGATCAATACTTGGCTTGGGTTCGTGATCCACCCGGCCATCCCTCTCATGGAGCTCCTGGAGGAGCTCGCCAATGGATCCAGCCAAGGCCATTGAGAAGGCCATGGGCCGGATCCAGTGGGCCACGGCGTGCTGTCCTTTGACCAAGTCCCTGCTCCAACCGCTCTAAGCTTGGAAGATGGCGGTCAAGACTATGGGCAACCCACCCAAGGTGGTCCGCATGTTGGCTGCCCTCCTGAAGGAGCTCTTCACGCACCCCTTTGAGCAGTACTCACCTTTCCTGCCAAAGTCGCCTTGGTGGGGATGCAGTGATGCTAGTGCATCGAAGGCAGGTGAAGCCTATGTTGGGGGCTGGTGCTCGACCTCCCCAAACCCCACCAAGGACCAGGTCCTCTGGTTCCACTATGCCATGACAGCAGATGCCCATCCTTGGGCGTTCAAGGATGGCAACCCTCAGAAACGCATTGCTGCCTTGGAACTCCTGGGCACACTGCAACAGGGCCAACTACCGGGAAGAGTTCGCCTCCCGGTGGGCAGTGACAACTCAGGCAACATCTTCAGCCTGCTCAACCTCTCGGCCAAGAAACCATACTCGGCGGCACTGCTCATGGAATTGGTTCTCTTCCTTCATTGTGAGGGCTGTAGCATTGCTCCCAACCACATCCCCAGGGAATACAACACCTGGGCGGATGAATTGACTCATCCTGACTTTGAAGGATTCTCCTTAGATCGCCGGTTACCGGCACCGGAGACTCTCTTCATTTTTCCTTTCGCTACAAAACTTTTGTCCTCAACGGGTTTTTCCTAGCTGCCCACCCAAGATCCCGTGACCGGATCTGGTGGGCTGTCCTCCCGACCCTGTCCCCTGGCACCTCGACAGGTGCCTGTTGGCCCTGGGAGGCCAGGGGACAATCGGGTGTTGTGGCAGCGACGGGCGAATCCTACTGCCTGACACACCCTTGTCCCCCTGGCGAAGTCCAGGGCAGTTTGAAATGGACTAAACGATACAGGGTCTGGGGGAGGACCCCAGCATCAACCAAAGCGCATTGGAAAAAGCATGCCTGCAGCTTTTTGCGCTCTTGGGATCTTTTTGACTTCTGGGTACATAATAGCTTCTCCAAAATGATCCACTATAGACAAGCATGGCCAGTTCATGCCGGATGGAGGGCTGCTTCTCCCTTTGTTTCGTTTGTCAGGGGTGGGATAGATATGGAGGCGGAGCTAGCGTGTTTTCCTTAAGCTTTATCCAAAAACCGAAAAGACCTCGCTCAGGCGATCCTTGCGGTCCTTGGAGTGACTCGACAGTGAAGGGTTGACACAGCGGCCAGTGACAGACTCGCTCTGCTTCATGAAAGGGCTCTGGTTTCAACAACAAAGACCACTTGACGAGCAAAAACGGGTTCAGTTCAACGGGTCATCGTGGGATGCGCGGTCCAATAAGATTGGCGCTTGTGCGAGCCAATCTGACAGGGAACTTTTTTGAGGCCATGACGGCCTGATGATTGGGTCTGGGTCCAAAGAGTTCGAAAAAGAAGGGAGGATCCTCAACCCTAACAAGCTGGACCTTGTTCATGTTGTAGTTTTGGTGTGTTTTTGTCTCAGGAAGTCGTTGGAGTCGTTTGGATTCGCTTTCCAGCAACGCCCCCCAGGCGAGGCCAGCGGACGCACTGAGCTACTTGGAGATGTGTCCAGTCGAGCGCGGTCTGATGACATGGCATGACCATGTGCCCTAGGGCACTCGCACTTGTGTTCGTAGGGCACTCGCACTTTCGGACACTTGTGAAGCTGTAGGCTTGCTCGTTTGCAGGAATTCACACGAACTCGACCTCTTTGTTAATTCTTGTCCCGGTTTTCAAGCTGTCGGCATGTCAATCATGGCAACCATGTCGATGCCTCCGCAAAGCGACCTCAAAAAGAGTCAAACGGTCAGCGATCTCCGCACTTGGCTCCGATAGTCAACGCTTAGGGGTCTTCTACTTTTTGCGGAAGATGCGCTGTCATAGAGTGGGAAGATGTCTAGTGAAGCCTATTGGAACTACTCAACTACTCCTCACACTTGGCATAAGAGGGGTTGGTGCCAAGAGGAGGCTTGGGAAGAAGCCAGAGTTTTCGGTTTTCACTTGTCATAAGCATGCCAGCCAACACCCAAACAACGGCATTTCCGGAAATAGCTCTTGCCGAACACCCAAGCAACGACAATCTAGGCCTCCTTCTGGAACGGGCCGACCCAGCCTAGGCAAGGATGAGCAGCTGGTGACGTCACTCTTCGAGCGAGTCACCCCTGGAGTGGTGTCCATCGCCAAGGAGGCACCACCGCCGGGGGTTGGGAGCCCCAGCTTCTTGAGATGAACATAGAGTTCTGAACATAGACTGCCAGTTCATTTCCAAAAACCTTTCTAGACAGCGGATTGCTACATCACTGTGAGGCTCTCAACAATCGAACACACGAAAATCCATGGCCTCTCCCACGACCCAAAGCGGCCGCGCGGCACGCTGCCAATTTTCTTCGGTGCGGAGCCACACGGCTCAGGATTCGACTGGAGCCAAACCGTCCGCTGGACTTGCTGGAAGTGGATTTGTTTGGGACAACCGGCATGAGCCGCGCCCAGCATGTGTGTTCTGTCAGAATGATTCGAGCAGACAACAGAAAGGCTACCACATGTCCAGCCTCGTTGATCTGGTTTTGTATTAACTGGCTTTTGTTATGGGCACCTGGTACTGGTAAGATGAGCCACTGAGCGGATGAGCCACTGAGCTTACTATGCTTGCTACGCTTGCTGATGTTGTTCACAGGTCGCCCCTTGCTTCTCGAGGTTGTGACCAATTACAATGTCATCAATGAGATGCAAACGCCCGGCCGCAGCTTTCATTTTAGGTTCTACAGGAAAAGAGTCAGTTTCAAGGAAACGCATCAAAGGGCATGACCAACGGGAGCACGGACACAGGCTCCAACGATACTCGCAGAACCGAGCACAGATCAGGGGAGATTCAGAAAGTTTCCTGTTGCGAAGGTCCGTGGTACTGTCAATTGGTCGCTGTGAAGCAGTTTAGTCGCTCTACCTTTTGAGGCCATATGTCACGTTCCTGCTGAACGACAAGTCAGGAGGGACACGGAGCCTTTAGCTGTTCAGCTTACTTTGACAGGTCAAAGAGCTTGCGAGGTTACTTGGAGTTCATTTTTAATCGAGCTGGGAACTAGAACTTCGGCCCTGAAATATCATGAAATATCCTAAAATGTGGTTACTCAGCTGCAAGCTTACGCCCTTTTGGGGAGAACGTTTTGACCATCCTGAACAGTGCTAAGTTGCTAAGTGCTACATTTGCCACGATGTTCATGGGTCCGGCAGTCTGACCAAGCCCTGTTGCCAGTGTGGGAAGGACAGCCTGAAAGTCTCACCACGACCTGAGAGTGTGGGCGAGAAACACTCCAATTGGGTTGCTTTTGCAGAATCTAGGACTTGAGCAGGTAAACTCAAGACTCAAGATGTATGACCTTCCAACATCAAGCATAAACAACATTCATTTTCGCCATCATAGATGAACATCTTGGGAATTTGTGAAACAACCAATGCCAGCATGAAAGCCTTTTGGAAGTTCACCAGCTGATCCATCCCAGAGAGGATGCAGGCAAGTGCAGTGCTTTACTTGAACTGTTTGCGACAGGCAACAAGCGCCTCACCTTCTTGGCCCAGGTGGTGGGTTGGAAGACTCAGCCGCAATAGGGCAAAAGGGCTTCAAAAAGCAGAAGTTCCAGGGAGGTCTGAAGTCAGGGACACTTGTGAGGATTTTGGCACGTCGTTGGATCATTCCGGAATGTGCGAAGTTTGGCTAGTCCGTTTTTTTCCACCAATCTGGTGCTACAACATGCTGCAGGTTACGACACCTCAAGCAATGTCGCAGTCTTGGAGGTGCAAAACCAGGAGACTGGTGAATGGTGTGGCATGGATGGACTTGGAATTCAAGGACCCTGTGATAAAAACCCACAACTCACTAGCCTGAGCTCGCTAGGGCTCCAGACGACTTCCAAAGACAACTACCAAGAGTGTGTTACCGTGTTGCCAGTGATCCAGATTAGGCGGGGGAGATTCAACCTTCATCAGTTTGGGAGCTTCTATTCCGTTATATAAATATAATTACCAGCATCTTACAATGACATAGACAGAACATGACAGAACGATGGATGCTCGGGCAAGGTTGTTCAACAGGTTGCACCAACCTTCCCCGAAGATGGACATGGAAGATCACAACTCCCGGGCTTTTTGTCTGAACAGAGGAGGGTTCTCCATGCCCATATTGGCCGCATATATATAATATATATATATATATCATATCCACGACGAGTTCTGGCAATTGGCCTTCCTCTCCAGCTGTCACATCATCGGGTGCACGACAACTGTTGGCTGCCACATTTGTGCAGGATAACTCCAGCCTGCCCAAAGGCGATGGATGTCTTCGTACTTGTAAGATGATGGATGCGCAGTACTCGAGGTGTATTGATGAGGTCGACATTCACTTTTGCCGGATTTTCCTGAACGTCGACAAACTCGACTCATGACTCCAATCTTATAGTTCCCATTGGTATGACCCTTGTGGTGCCGCTGGATTGGTTCCTGGTAGGCCAGGTGTTTGTCAGTTTCCCATGCCAGTTGTTTCGATTCATGGTGCGATGGGTTTCAACGCCTCCTTCTTTCCATTGCGCGGCACTCAATCTAAGACAGCACCATCTTTCAGAATGGCAGCAGGTCTGATGCAACCACTTGAGCGTGGTCATTCTGACAAGCTCATGGTCGGCGTGGCGGCTTAGGGTGCAAGGAAAGACTTCGATTTCGATTTGCCCAATCTTCAGCGAGGGAAACTATATAGTAAAATTGTAAAGTTGATTCAAACACTGAATTGTTTATTTGATGTGAGGAGGCGAGCAATCGAGGGTGAGCTGTGCATTCGGACTGTATGATGCGATGCTAATGCTTGTTCCCAGGGTGCCCTGATAGAATCAGCTGAATCTCACTGCTTTTTGTTTCTGCTTGACAGTTGTGCCAACTCACTTGTGGCTACTTTTTTATGTGTGTTCGCTTACTGCAACGCTGCAACACTCGGTCAAGTCATCCCTTAGATGCCTCTTTTCCTGCTCCTCCTTGCGAAAAGCCTTTGTGAGCATGCTTGCGATACTGTAATTCCTTCCTCTCTGGCTTTTCTTCTAAGATGTGACCCCATGTAATGTACAGGAACGGCTTTTGGCAGGTCAAAACGTCTTCGCTTTTGGCAATCCATTCGGTTTGGAGCACAGCCTCAGCCGGGGCATCATCAGTGGTGCCATCTCCTTAGCTGTTCCTGTATTTCTGTCTGGGAGGTGACAAACTCTGTGTGTTTAGTGGTGTCAAAACTCAAAACACCTTGACTTGCAAGGGGGGCACGGAAGCACTGGGTTTGCAGAGTGGGACAAGTTGGCGAGGTGTCGCGAAAGATGGAGGGCAGCGGTGGAAGGCCAATCAGCTACTTGGACTATTGCGAACTCCGGTGGATGACGGGCATAGGTATCAAAAAAAAAAACGAGCATCAAAAAAAAAGAAGAGAGGATCAACATAAACATAATAAGCGAATAGGCCTCTTCTGCTGCTCTCCTGGCCCTGTGGTCTGCGGGTCCTCTGGTAATAAGGTCCCTTGGTCCTTTGGTCCCTTGGTCCTCTGGTCCACTGGTCCTTTGGTCCCCTGGTCCCTTGGTCTTTTGGTCGACTGGTCCCCTAGTCCTCCGGTCTCCTGGTCCTCTGGTCCTGTGGTCCGCTGGTCCCCTGGAATCCTGGTCCTTCTGTCTCCTGGTCCGCTGGTCTCTTGCTCTCCTACTCCGCTCGTCTTTCGGTCTCCTGGTCCCCTGCTTGCACAAATAGAGGCTTGATTGCTTTCTACTAGAGGCAGCTCCCTGGGCGGAAAGTAGGTACCCAATGATGGTAGCCGTCCAGTCATTGAGTAGCCCTACTCGAAAAATGGTTCACCAGTAGAAATAGCTCCCTACTAGGAAGGAGCTCCTAGGGAGGTACACTCTCCTAGTCCCTTTCTCCTTCCATCCTTTTCCCTTGGTCTCCTAATCCTGCTACTGCTACTGCTACTACTACTACCCCAACCATCCTCAGTGGGCTAGAATATGTTTTTTGATTTTTTTTTATTGATCCCCGTTGAATATTTTTTTGATTCTATTTTTATTTCCATTTTGATCCCTTACCCTGGAGGACGGATGCGTGTGGTCGTGACGACGTCGTGAGGTGGAGTGATCCAAACAGATGCCAGCATCAATCCTGGAAACAGTGGTGGGCCATTGCTCAACAGTGATGGCGAGGTCGGACCAGCCTCAAGTATGGCCGAGCACATAGAGCAATATTTTATATTTATGTGGCCCTCATAGTAATCTCTGTAATGTGGAACAGTTTGCCTCGGATTCACAGCGAGAAGCACTGCATTCAGCATCGGGGCGAAGTGAAGAACGGCGGTGGTGACAGGTCATTGGCGTGAACACTGCCATTCTCTCGGGAAGTGGGATGTTTGCTGGAGTCGGTTGGAGGCTCAGAAATCTGCTGAAGTTTTTTGATTCAAGGTGCCAGACAAGCGCTGCAGTGCAGGATGATTTCTCCAAGAGTCGAAACTGCAAACCTGTAGAAACTTCACACACTTTGATCAACTGTCGCAGCACAACCATGGACCATGGACCATGGACCACCCGTTCGAGAATTTGGTATGTAGAAAAAGAAATGCACCTCCACCTCCACATCCACGCATAACATGCAGTTGGCACTGAGGACTTGCTGTGCCGATCGACACCGTGTCCAAAAATGTGGAAAGCATCATCTCCAAAGGCCCATGGAGTCGCGCGAAACGCGAAATGTTCAGCATCGAAACCGAGCGAGCTGAAAAGCCTGAGGGTGAAACACACATGCAGCCGCCAAACGGCCCCTTTGGGAGCGAGCTGCGCTTTCGGCCCCTTTCGGTGGCCAAGGCTTTGTGAAGCGGCCGCTGCTGGGGTTGATCTTTGCGCCCGATGCCACTGGTCGAATCGCAAGTGGTTCAGGTTCAGTTTGGTGGAGTTGACCCACATGGGTTGACACTTCCACACACTTTTCTGTTTTTCGAAGCCATGTTGTATTTCATGTTTTCGAGGTCATGGACCAAGAGCTTCAACTGAATGGCATCATGGTCATGAAGGCTGGGGCAAGGGTGAAGGCCAATGGGCAAAGAAGTCCGCGGCAAAGATGGATGCTATAATTTACCGAAAGAACGGCAAGTAGGATGAAAATCAGAGTGAAGCGAACTGACCTTTCTCTTTTGCATGTATAACTGTATAACATATACAATCCCTTACCGTTGCATGTCTTGTCTTTATTTGAACTTCATTCACTTCGATATGGAGGTCATCCCTGGTGGCCCAGCGGAAAATGCTGGAGTGCGGCCAATGCGTCGAGCTGGCTCCTTTTTCTTCTTTATCAGACGACTTCTTGACGCAGATTGGCACTGTCCTTTTGTTGGTAGTGACTTGGTAGTGTTTTCTCTCCTTTAAGTCCTTTAACTACTATCTCATAAAGAGAAGAGAAGCAACATAAAATTATTGTAGTATCCCGACCAGTTGAGGGGTGGGTTGCTAGTTTCAGAAACTGGAGATCTGGGCTTGAATCGAAACTTGAAACTATCTGTAGTGAGCGGGCTGCTTTTGGGTCAATTGGCGGTGCTGGAGATGGACTCGATGGAGTCTTTGTGGCGATGGTTTGTTTCGGTACATTTCGTGAAACTTTGTTCAAGTTGTGAATTTGCCCGAATCCATGAGATGAGTTCAGCAAGGGGCTCACAACTTCAACGGCATCATAGGACCTTAGGATTTTCGATAGTCTCATGTCATAGACTCATCCGCGACCCACACATCCCTTCAGACGTGTTGTTTCTTTCGACTGAGGCTAAGGCCGAGGTAGGACAACAGAGTCATCAGATAGATGGGTTTGTCTCAAGAACGGAACCATATTCTTGAACACCACGCAAGGTTTGTCACCTTCTGACTTATTATGACAACCTGTCTTTTCGACATAAATCCGACATCGGGGAATTGGCATTCCAGGTGGCGGACGCTTGGGAGATGTGGTCGTTGCCATGGATGGCCAGCACCATGCCCAAAAACGTGATTCCTTTGTTTTTGGACTCGTCCCCTCGGCCTCGGCCTCGCGACGTCGTCCTGAGGAATATCTCCTCCACGGACGACCTCTTTGGGCTGCTGGAGTCCCGCGCTTCTTGGCCTCGGACAGTCCCACGGCAGACTCGAAGACGCCGCTTAGACGTGCGGAGAGTTCGGAGAAAGCAGGAGTCTAAGGAGAAACGACATAATTAGAAACACCGAGGCTCCGGGGGACACCGTGAAGCTGAAGCTTCAGCGGCCCAATGCTGATTTGGACAGTGATGAGTCAGAAGCTCAGATCTAGAAGATCAGAGTGATTCAGAAGGTCATCATGATCATCCAAATGCAGCAGCTCCAAAGCCTGAGCTGACAACAAACAGTTATGAAAGGTATATTGTGTTTTTATATTTTAGCTGTGAGGCGATATCAAAGACACCTGTTTCAAGAGTGCTTCAGGTTGCAAGAAATTGAAGTTCCCATCAAGTTGGGCCAGGCCAACAAACCTGGGGGTTGGTGAGGAAAGCTGGAGGAAATGTTGGACCTTGCGAGAAAAGAGCGTTTTCTTTTCCTGAATGTTCAATCCGGTAAGCCACGAGAACAGTCTTTTTGTGTGAAGAAAGCGCAACCTTAGCATTTGGACATTTAGGAGGCTGTGGTGGGCAATATCATGGTATAAATGTGGAAGCCCCGAGGCACACATGACACAGCTATCATTTCTTTGTGTACATGCGCATGATAACTTCTCTACACATGTTGTTGCCAGGCCACAGACAAGTGACGCGAAGACATCCGGTCTTCCACGAGAAGGACCGTGATGCAGGTGACCTGGGCGCTCCACGGGCTTTTGTTGAAAGACCATGAACATTTTTGGTAGTCCATGGGTTTCCTCTGAGTGGGTATTGGATGTGCAGGCTTTCAGCAGCGATGTACATGGGGGTAAGAACTAAGTGGACTTATGAATTTATGTAACCACTGCCAAACCGGCCGCTTGCGAGATACACATGGTTTAAGTTTAGTCCAGGCACGGGATGCAAACACTGACAAGCAGCCGAAAACCTTCGTTAACTCCGGGACCTGAAGACTAACAACATCATACAACAAGAACTTCTTGCAAGCGAGCTTTGTGGATTCCTCTCCCCGCATGCACAGGCAATCATGAAACAGAGGATAGCCAAGCTTGTTTGATTGACACAGATCATGATGTGTGAATACCACCTGCATCGATCTGTGACCAAGCTTTGCTGCATGGATCGGTGATGAATCGCATGGCGCTGTGGCAGTTCCACTCTAGGTCCAAACGGCGCTGTGGAGAAACCATGAGAAACCTGCTGTCGAGCTATCCATGTCATTGCAGGTGAGGCATGTGGGGGCCAACAATGAGTATTTCCCCGGTACATATCGAACAAGAATGTAAAAGGAAAACACACCTTCTATTAGGATGGAGGCCATTGCTAGTAGGTTGGAGAAGGCCATTGCTATCAAGTTGGAGGCCATTGCTATTAGATTGGAGGCCATCGCTATTAGGGGGAGGCCATCGCTATTAGGGGGG